TGGGCCGCCCATGACGAGGGGATGCATAAATCATTGTCTACTATTAATTACCTTGTGGACTGGGGTTCTGAGCAAGATGCATCACGGCTTTTTCAACCTTTTGTTAAGTCAATGACCGAAACAACCCTTTTCTTGTCCGTTTATGAAGCCTTTTTCTCCGGTACCCAAGTTTCTCCTGTCCACCTCTCTGAACCTCTTCTCCGTTGCCTCCACAAATCTTGAATTACCGCCGCTGCTGCGGTTGTATGGGAACTGCAATTGAGGTCAATGCGAAGGGGGAGAGGAGGGAAGAAGATGGGAGGGGCAGAGGAGAGAGACCGTGGCAGGTGTGTTTTAAAACAGCAACCAAAGCAAATCCTTTAATCAACCTTACAATTTCTTTTTCTTGAATAAAGACCTTTTTTATATATTTTTTTCAACAAAAAGAATTTATGTTAATTCTTATATTTTCATGGAGTGAATTTGATTCTTGTACAAGGCAATTATTGATTCAGGGCAACTCATCCAACATTTCATCAATTTTGATTTTAATGGATCAAAATCAAGAACACAAAGAGTAAAACCAAAAAGCATTGCTTTACATGTTTTTTACCTTTTATTTTGTTTTTCATTGGTAGAGAGAAAAAAACAACCTCTTATGAGAATTCTGATTGGTAATGTACTGATAGTTACTTATTAAAAGCTAAATAAATTAATACAATATTTAACATGATTTGACAAACCACCTCCATCTATAGAAAAAACCAATATTATTAGAGATAGATAGAGAAAGGGTTACAATATACGTGAAAAAAAAAATCACTTCACTCAAACTCTACTCTCATTGCTCACACACATTGTAACAAGGTTGTTGCCCTTGGCAGCTCTTCTTTCTCTCTTAGTCTCTCACATTATGCACTCTCACTCTCTTTCATTTTGTGCTGCTCTCTTGGTGCCTATTTATAGGTAATAATAGTGTCACCAACTCCAACTCATCTTTAATAATGGTGGTCAGTAATAATAGTGTCACCAGCTCCAACTCATCTTTAATAATGGTGGTCACCTAACTTTTTTCTACTTTGTAACTTTTGGTTGTTGCACCAACAACTCTCTTTGACAATGACAACTATCTTTTTTTAAAAATGGTGGGGTATTTGCCATAGTAATGATAATTTTCTAACAATCATCCCCTTTCACCATTTATGTGGGCAATTATACTCTTACTTTCTCAGCACAAGCTTGCATCTTGCAACTCTTCCAAGCTTACCATTTGGAAAGCATCTTTGCCCAAATTTACAGGTACTCGCCAACCCTTTCAATCATCAAAATCACCAAAACACACCCTTACTCACACTAAAGGATCACTTTAACCAGATAGTCTCTCACATCACATCTGAAGAGTGTTAACGCTTGTCTATGGGACATAACTTTTCCCTTCCAGCGTATCAACCATGCTCGATCTGGAATGATTTTTCAAACCTCACACTAAAGCTTATAACACCCCCTCAAATAGAAATTTCTATTTCCAAGTGCGATAGTCATTATTTGAGTATTTTAATATGATCATGAGCTCACCACTCTTCCAATAGTCTACTCATCTAGGAGTTGCGTCTGCCCTCTGTTCCACCCTAGAAACCACGCTTTACTTTTCCGTGAGTCTCCCGCTCTTAGTCTCAAGAATCTAAGTAGCTCTCCATCTTTAACCATGAGGGCAGCCCATTAAATGTTGATCCATATCTATCTTCATACTCTGAGTATTATAATGTCATTACCAAACTCACCACATTGACAAAAGTCAACTTGTTCCAGGAACCTGTGCTTGCCTCTGCTCATTCCTAGCAGTCGCGTCTTAATGCTCCACAAGTCACCCATTTATTGTCCAAGACAAATGTCTTTTAGCTTATTGACCTTTAGCATGAGAGCAATATCCATGAAAGTCAATCCAATATTTGTTTTCATACTCATCATAACCATTACATTGGCTATCCACATGTCCACTTATATCCATCCATCATATTAGCTCTAGGTGTTCTGTAATTAGGCTTCTATCATGGCCCTCACACCTTCTCCCGAGGTGTCTCTGCTCGTCGTCATGCGACGGTCTGAACCTAGGCTCATATTATGGCTCGCACACCTTCTCTCCAAAGTGCCTTTGCTTTTTATAAGCAGTCGCATCCTTCTTTAGCTGGGATGCTTCATCAATTCTCTATCACCATGTGAACTTAGGAGAGATTATAGCCACTAATCACATAGAAAGAGAGAGTTGCGATACACTTCTCGTAATCCTACATCTCGATTTCTATGTTTGGAGCTTCTACGCCTTTCTACTTGATAGCTCCATCCACACCAACTCTCTTTTGGTTTCTTCACCTTTTATAGACGACCATCTTTTATCACAGACATTTGCATCCCCTCAATTAGATGCTTCTGTAACAGCTCATCTTTCTATCCTCGGATACATTGGAAAGGTGTTCGCCTGTTGCCTTTAACAAGAGCACAAAAGACTTCCTATTGTATATCCTTCACACAATCTCTGCTTTAAGCTTCATCTAGGAACTCTTCTTCTCCTTACACTTGTTGTCTCATTACAGTACCTCGTTGGATCCTATAGGTATTCCTGCACAATCTTCGTGTGCCCTCGTGCAATTTCTGTTCTCCAGATTTCACCTTATTCCTTGCTTTCATGTTTGGCAGCAGTTAATCTTGTCACAACATTTATCCAAGTCAAAATAGGGTGTCAATCTTTATCCCCTTGCTGTATTTTTCTTCCATTATCAGGGTCTTTATCAATTCTCTCTTTCTCAATCACAGTCACCGAATCTACCTCTTTAGAGAAATCACCACTCCATCAGATCCTTGACCATACAGAACCCAACTGTTCCCTTGTGTCATCATCTTGCTAGTCTTCAATAGTTTCATTACAAATGGTTACATATACGAAAATAGTACCGTATGGATAATCCTTCAATTAAGCAAGTTCCCATGGAAGATTGGAAAGCTTACACCGGTCCCGCTTAAAACCCAATCTCCTAACCTGAACTTCTTAGGCTATATTTATCCATCGTTCTATCTTTTCGTATATACAACCATTTGCTACATCTGTTGCAGCTTTCCTTTACAAGTGATCTAGAATATCTTAGTTTTATACCTGATTTCTCAATATCTGGCAAAACTATCAGTGCTTAGATTTGTCAAGATTAGTCTTCATCAATTTCCACTATCTACCTCAAATTGTTCACATGATCGGATGTCCAGAGTGTCCCAATTTTACCTTCCTTTAAGGTAATTAAAATTTTCCCACATAGCAGTTCATCATATATAATTGGACAAACATGTGCACCTTCTTATTCTTCATATCCATCGACCACCATGATGACTTTCAGATGCCTCATGATCGGACAATCTCTTTTAATGATTCACCACCATAACTTCTAGTCCAAATCTCAAGGTTTGGATTGTATCATTGCATCTGGAATGATTAAATTAGCTGGAAACAAGTTTGAAATTGTTTAAATCGCATTTCATATGGCTAAGATTTGATCAAAACAATTCTGGCATGATGAGTGGCCCAGATTCAATCTCAGATCTGGTTGCACGTAGGATCAACTACATTGGATCCTATCCCTCAACTCGCAGCTCGGCTCGCTGCTGATGATGTGGCAGGTGGGTCCCACTGTGCTGACATGTCAGCTGACTGATCGCTGACATGCCAGTTGTGCATGTGGACGCCATGCTTACATCATGATGATGTCATCCTACATCTAGGTCAGCCATGTGAGTCCGGTCATTTGGTATTCGAATCGGGTCAACCCATCCGGGCGATGAAGACTCGTGGGGCACGTCTGCGGGCGTGGGCAACCACTTTGTCGATGTGTAGGGGCGCGTACAACCATATCTAACATCTGATTTTGATCCTGTTTTCACCAGTGTAATCGTCTCTTCCTCCTCTGCACGGTGGTATGATTAAAACATACTTTTAACAACTTTCAATTTTTTAGTAAAAATCAAACACTACTTTAAACCATATGCTCTGATACCAATTATTGGGGATTCCAACTGGTGATTTAGTGATAGTTGTTCATTGAAGGATTCCAACTAGTGATTTAGTGATAGTTGTTCATTGAAGGCTTAACATGCTAATACAATATTTAACGTGGTTTGACAAACTACCTACATCCACAGGAGAAGCCAATATTATTAGAGATAGATAGAAAAAGGGTTGTAACACACGTAGAGAAAGAGGATCACTTCACTCAAACTCTACGCCTATTGTTCACACACTGCTGCATATTGTAGTAGGGTTGCTGCCTTTGATATCCTCTCTTTCTCTCTTAGTCTCTCACATTCGGTATCCTCTCTTTCTCTCTTTCTCTCTTAGTCTCTCACATTCTACACTCTCACCTTTTCTTATCTTGTGGTGCTATTTTGGTGTTTATTTATAGGCAATAATAGTACCACCGGTTCTAGCTCATCTTCGATAATAATTATCGCCTAATTTTTATCTACTTTGTAATTTTTAGTTGATATACCTACAACTCTTTTTGACAATAGCAGCTATTTTTTTCAGAAATGAGGTATTTGCTACAATAATAAAAATTTCCTAATAGCCTCTGCCACCAGCTACTTTTTTTTGTTTACGGGGAAAACTGAAATAGCTACCGATGGGTAAGGGACGTATCTCTCCCTTGGCCTTTGAAGAAGACGATCATTTGCTATAAACAAAGAGGGCAAAAGGATGGTTGTTGCCTCTCTTTTATTTTCATTTCGATTTCATGACTGCTTTTTCTCTTTTTCTTTTTTTCCTACAACGCCTGGTGCAAGTTTACATTTACTAGAATTGGTGCAAAAAAGTCAAGAATTCAACATCACACCTAACTGCATTTTTGTCCTCCTACAGGACTTGAACTTTTATATATATATTTTTATTTTATGTTGGTCAAATTAATTTAGTTTCAACGAACATCCTCAGTTGCCTTAATTAAAATAAAGCACCTGAGGATTTAATCCGTTGATAATAGATATTTTCTTTCACCAGTTCTTTAATTTTAAACCAAGTCTGTTGTCGCTGTTTTGAACACGACTAAAGCTGACTACAGAACTGGTGTTGTATTTAAGGCTTGTGGTGACCCAACTCTCCATTCACCTCTTCACTTCTAGCACTGTCTCTTTATCTTTCCTTCTCTAGCTTACATCCATTGCCTCAAGGGGGAGAGAGAGCAAAAGCATGTGGGCAATTGGATTGGTTGTTGTAGCATTGGTTGTGGTGTACTATAGTCATTTGATTAGCAAATGGAAGAATCCTAAGATTGATGGGGTTCTCCCTCCAGGCTCCATGGGCTGGCCCCTCATCGGAGAAACTCTGCAGTTCATTATTCCTGGAAGATCTCTAGACCTCCATCCATTCGTCAAGAAAAGGATGCAAAAGTACGTAATATTCTAGGGGATTGCGAGGAAGAAACAAAGTCCATGCGTTACTTGCTTGCTTATTAATTTCACTACCATCGAATTGATATATGAATTCCCTTGTTTCAGGTATGGACCGATCTTTAAAACCAGCTTAGTTGGTAGGCCTATCATCGTGTCTACTGACTATGAAATGAACAAGTACATCTTGCAACATGAAGGAACTCTGGTTGAGCTATGGTATTTGGATTCATTTGCCAAGTTTTTCGCTCTTGAGGGAGAAACCAGGGTGAACGCCATCGGCAAAGTTCACCGATACTTGAGAAGCATAACTTTGAACCACTTCGGCGTTGAGAGCCTGAAGGAATCATTGCTTCCTAAAATAGAAGACATGCTCCACACCAACTTAGCAAAGTGGGCTACTCAAGGACCTGTTGACGTCAAACAAGTTATTTCAGTTGTGAGTACACCTTCTTCAGCTGGTACACTAGTATTAATTAACATTTTCTACATCTAATGCACGCGTCTGCTTAATTATAACCTGCTTCTTCTTTTTCTGGCTGTAGATGGTTTTCAATTTTACCGCGAACAAAATATTTGGTTATGATGCTGAAAACTCAAGAGAGAAGCTAAGTGAGAATTACACAAGGATCTTGAACAGTTTCATCTCCTTGCCCTTGAATATCCCTGGCACTTCCTTCCACCAGTGCATGCAGGTAAACAGAGGAGTCCCTCAAACATCCCTAGAAGTTTTTATTTTGATTTCTACTCATCAGGAATTGGGATTCATCGATGACATGTCTTCTTTTGATTCAGGACCGAGAGAAGATGTTGAAAATGTTGAAGAATACGCTGATGGAGAGGCTCAACGATCCATCAAAGCGTCGGGGAGATTTTCTTGATCAAACCATTGATGATATGGAGACAGAGAAGTTCTTGACAGTGGATTTCATCCCCCAACTCATGTTCGGGATCTTATTTGCCAGCTTCGAATCTATGTCAACCACTCTAACTCTAACATTCAAGTTTCTTTCAGAGAACCCTCGAGTAGTTGAGGAATTAGCAGTATGTGTTCACTCACCTATTATCAAAAAAAATTTTAAGCTTCCAAATTAAAAATGCCACTCTGTTCACACCCGCACACACTAATTGTTTATCAGGCTGAGCACGACGCAATTGTGAAGAAAAGAGAAAATCCAACATCCCGCCTCACTTGGGAAGAGTACAGATCAATGACTTTTACCCAAATGGTTAGCTTCCACGTTCTTGAAAATGGTCCTTTTGTGTTCCAATTTTACATCAATATTTCGACTCCCTTTTTCTTAAGATGAATCTTTTTTATCCTCATGGAATATGTGGTCAATCATCCACAGGTCGTCAATGAAACACTTAGAATTTCCAACATCCCACCTGGTCTGTTCCGAAAGGCATTGAAAGATTTCCAGGTCAAAGGTATGCCACCAAAACCAATTCTTAATTCAATATTTCTATGCTTTCTTTTTCCAGACTGTTCAATCTAATGGATTGCTTGTGAAATTTCCAGGATACACTGTTCCAGCTGGTTGGACAGTAATGATTGTTACTCCTGCTATTCAATTAAATCCTGAGACATTCAAGGATCCCGTTACATTCAACCCATGGCGGTGGAAGGTGAGAAATTCTACCTTCACAAGATCTCTGGGAGGATCAAAATCGATTCACTGTCACAATCATATATACGCTTGCCATTCCTGCTCTTAATTGATGTACACTTTTATTTTTTAATTCCTTACAGGAACTTGACCAAGTTACCATTTCCAAAAACTTCATGCCATTCGGTGGCGGCACAAGGCAATGCGCCGGGGCGGAGTACAGCAAGCTGGTCTTGTCAACTTTTCTTCATATCTTGGTCACCAAATACAGGTAGATTTGATTTTTCTCTTGATAGGCGTCATACTCGAACGTTGAGGTGACTACATGGAATATATTTTTTATCACGGAGTTTTTTTTGTTAACTGTTAGGGTTTTATTTTTTGCAATGCCAGGTTTACCAAGGTCAAGGGAGGAGACGTATCTCGCACTCCTATCATTTCATTTGGCGATGGCATCCAGATTAAGTTTACAGCCAAGAACTGAAGTAGTTTTTTCCCCTTACCTATGGAAGTGCATGTTCTTAATAACCTTTTCTTATACATGCACTTGCTTATAAGCAAATAGAAAATAATAATGATCCTTCCTCGTCAATGAAAGAGTCTCAAACCTCACACCGTGAGGAGGACGAAGTTAACCTTTTTTATGTAGAATATTACATGAACTTTCTTGTATAAGCAGAAAGTGTTCAAGAACTGCAATAAAGAATCTCTTTCCCATTTGATCCAGCCTTTTTTTTATATTTGCAAGTTATGTTAATATTTAAATAGAGCATGCAAATTCTTTAGGGTTTCTCTTACTTCATTAGCATCAGTAAAAACCGAGGCAAAGTACGTGGTTATGCCTAAGGTGTTTTTATATTTTAAAAATATTTTTAAAAATTTAAATTTTTTTATTTTTTATTTTAAATTAATTTTTATAATATATATTTAGATTTCTATGATATGTTAATATTAAAAATAAATTTTATGCTATGATATATTAATTTTAAAAATTAAAAATTATTATTTTAATATATTTTTAAATAAACAATATTTTTAAAAAATAATTATTACTACTCTCTTAAATCTTCCTCAAAAAAATATTTTAAAGATTTTTCTAGATGTAAAAATGGATGGATTGATTTGATATTTTTTAAAAATTATTTCTGTTTGTTTTTGTATTTTAAAAATATTTTTGAAAAATTTAAATTTTTTTTATTTTTTTATTATAAATTAATATTGTTTTAATATTTTTAAATAATTTTAATATGCTAATGTTAAAAATAATTTTTTAAAAATAAAATAATATTATCTTAATATATTTTTTAATAAAAAATATTTGAAAAAATAATTACAAAACAAACGGGTTGGAGGTATCATTTAACTTACCAGCAGAGGAATCACTGCTACAGTAAAAAACAAATACCACCAAAACGTGAAACACAAAATAGAGCTAAAGGAGTGTTTCTCTATGTATAAAATAAAAATAATTAAATATTTTTAAAAATATTTTTGATATAAAGGCGTCAGAAATAATAATAAAAATATAAAAAAAATTATTTAATAATTTTCAATAAAAAATAATAAATATATTATAAACAAATCATTGCAGAGCCTAAGCAAGCTAATGCTTGACAAATAGCAATGGCTTTTTTTTTTTTGAGAAGTGATGATTTTTACTTGTTTTTTTATTTTAAAAGTATTTTTAAAAATATTTTATTTTTATTTTATTTTTTAAAATTAATATTTTTTATGTTTTTAGATTATTTTAATGAACTAATAGCAAAAATAATTTTAAAAAATAAAAATATATTATTTTAATATATATAAAAATAAAAAATACTTTTAAAAAATAAACTCATTTCAATCTATTCGCGGGGCAGGTTAGATTAAATTACACTATTACAGAGTAGGGACTTCGTGCCACCTAAGGATTTCCCGTTTGCTTACGAGTCCAGCAGGAATCCTGCATTAAAAAAAGCTACAAACAATGATATTAAGTATCACTTTATTATTCAGTCCAGCGATGTAAGGAGTTTATTCTTTTTCTTTATATTTGGGTTTGAATTTTATTTTGTGTATATATATCATCCCTATGATGTCTTACTTATTTATTGGGCTTGCAGAATGTTCAGTGGACCACGAAGATTAATCATGATGCACGTAAACTGACCCAAACACCCCACATAAATAAAAATAAAATCACTTTATTATTAAATTATATTAACAAAAACAAAAATACATGGTGTCATCACTGGAAACCAACACACTCTAACACCGTACACAAGGCATTGTGATGGCAACAATATGATGTGAAAGGTCATAAAATAACCATCCCATGAATAAAAGAAATGTATGCTTTTATTGAACAAAAAATACATAAACAAAGAAAGTTAATTTTAACGGAAGAGATTTTTGGCAAATATTCATAGACAAACTATTTGCCCAACTGATTGTGTCCCGTTTGCTTACGAGTCCGGCAGGAATCCTGCATTAAAAAAAGCTACCAAAAAAAAAAGTATCACTTTATTATTAAATTATATTAACAAAAACAAAAATGCATGGTGTCATCACTAGAAACCCAACACACTCTAACACCGTACACAAGGCATTGTGAATGGCAACAATATGATGTGAAAGGTCATAAAATAACCATCCCATGAATAAAAGAAATGTATGCTTTTATTGAACAAAAAATACATAAACAAAGAAAGTTAATTTTAACGGAAGAGATTTTTGGCAAATATTCATAGACAAACTATTTGCCCAACTGATTGTGTCTTCATGATTTTTTTAATACAAAACTCTCTTTTATATATATATTAATTATACATTATTTAATTTTTTTTATTATTAATATAGGTATTCAGACAATTTATGCACATCTTAATTAATTTCAGTTTCTAAATTTTATAATTATATAAGTTTTTAGTAGATTTAAAATTGGTAAGATTTAAATTGATAATTTCTTAAAAATTGATTTAAAATTTGATCAATTAAACTATATTTTATAATTATATTATTCAATACTTTATTAATTATGAAAGTAAGTTGCTCTTATGCATCATAATGTAATCTCTATATAGAGTAAGTAAGACGGATTATGGATATGTATTAATTTTTTGTTTTTTGTTGGATAAAAAATCTTAAAATTTGAAAATTGAAATAAAAACAGCGCGAACAATTCAGCTAATAGTGACTATAAAGGCTCTGGACAATGATAAATGTATAGAAATATCATTCTATTGACGGACACCACCAGGTTAGTGGACGTGGCCTACAGAGCATTTGTCACACTGACAACGACAATGAAACATTGTCTTCTATTTCATAGATGACTTAGCTTGTGTTTCTCATGGGAGCGTCTCCCATCTGGATTTTTGTCTTTCACGTTCAACTCGAACGGAACTAGAGTTTCTAAACCATATCATTACAAGGAAGAAAAAAAGTGTGTGCTGTAGTTTCTTTGACGCAGGACATCGAGAGACAATGCATGCGAGACCCACTTAAAATGGTTGTGTACTGTTTGTTAGACATGAGCACATAAAATTGTTTGTTTTATTTTTGTGGGTTTATTTTGTCTAGTTTATCTTTTGTACTCTGTTTTTTCTTTCTTCATATAGATTTTTCACTCTTTATTAATAGTTGGAGGGAGGATGAGGAGATCGTGTAATTTATTTACTTTTAAGAGTTGGAATACAGTTTAATTAGTTAATAGGCATTAAAACTCATTAAGAAAAGATAATTCAATGTGGTTTCCATGATGATTAATAATAAATTAACTTTGTTTAAATGGAAGAGGAATGAAAAATATGATAGGCTTGCTACTATAATTGATTTTAAGGAAATTTAATTCCTTATATTTTTCGACCTCAGATTGATAAAAGGTTTTTTCTTATTGAAAAAAAAAATAGCTATGGTGAAATGGATTCACGAGTCATGACAAGGCCGAAGTCCTACCATCACTGAAGTCCACCAGAGACCACAACTAGATAGCGAAACGATAGAGGGAAGAGAAAGGGTGGCAATTAGCCCAAACCTGCAATATAAAATTAGAGAACACTACATCCGGCCGATTTACAAGAATTAGCCCAAGCTACGTGATAAGTTTTTATCTTTTGTTTTGGGTAAATGACGGGGCTTCAGGCCCTAACACCAACCCAGAGAACTAATTGCAGTTTCTAGGCTCGATAAAGTTCAGTATCATTTTAGATGAGCAGAAACTGGCTGCAAAGTTCATATTCAAAGAAGTTGCCGGTCTCGAATTTGCCCTCTCTAATTTTAAAATCTTAAATTTAATGGTTGGATAACTTCAAACCCAGTCTAGTCTTCTTAGATCACCAAATGGAACCTTGGGACTTTAAGACCGGTATGATTTCAGATTAAGAAACTAGGTGGTGTTTTTTAGACCGAAGGCTAAAAGCTGACAGAGTTGTAAGAGCAAATGCAACTCTACTGGCGTTTTGTTTTGAGAAATTGACAGATAATGCAAGAACAATGGCCCAGCTCAACAGATCAAAAGTTACAGGAAAATGCAAACAGAAGAAATTTTGAAAGGGCATTGCTTTCGGTAGAATGCCGAGATCAGCACTACAAAATATTACAGAGAAAAGTGTATCTTAAATTATCCTTAAAGCTCACTGTCTCCTGATACCTATTATTTTACGGTAGATCAAAACTAGGTAGCTATGTGCTTGTTTTTTGTCTTGCCATTGTCCTAGTGCTATCTGTACAGAAACTAAAATCAAGCTGAGGGACTTGAATATTGCTTCTGTTTACTAGAACACGTGCACTTCGCTTTAGTATCCGTGAGGGTCTGCCCAAAAATAAAAAGAGATTTTTGGTAAAGAAAGATAGAGGTACTTGAAACATGAAAGATCATGTGAATTTGATTGATGATTAGTATCTTTTGTATGTTACCTTTACTTGTTTCTGTAGATCTTTAATGTGCTCAACTGCCAAATCTAACATATCTGCCGTGTTTGTTTGCTGTCCAAGAAGAAATGGATAATTGTTTAGCATATATCTCTAATGTCAATTTGAATTACTGTTTGAGAATGACATATCTAGAGTCAGAACTACCTTGTCCATGTTTGGGAAAAGTTCTTGCAATTTTCTCATTCTTTCACTAATCCGAGTTCTTCTTACCTGCAATATACACCCAAGAAAAGCCTTTTATTAGTTGATTACGGGTTTCCTACATAACAAGGAAAGGCCATTGATACCATGGCTAAATCAACTAATTGCCATCAGGGACATACCCTCTCTGCTATGCTTCGTGGATGGGTAGCGAAACCTCTTTTGGCTCGAATCTTACATGGAACAGAATTGCCTTGAAAATCCAAAAACTTCTCGATGGTAGCCGTTTCTGAAAGAGTCTTGGGCAAGCTCAAGTGGTGAGTCAAACCAGTCACACGGTTTCCAGAATTTCCATCCTAATGGAGAATTATAATACCATTATCATTTTAACAAAGCATAAGCAGAATGAAGAAAAGCTACAAATTTATCTGCATACTGCAAATGATACCTGATTGTCCAGTGTGTTTAGGCCAGAAAACATGTTCCCATCATTATCCCTCTGTCTCTTAAGACCACTCAGAGAAGCACCGTCCCAAGAATCACTAGTGAACCTAGACATGTACCTTGCCTCGCTAACATCGCCTTCTGGACTCCTCCCACCAATACATTCTTCTCCAATTTCAGCAATCTGAGGCAACATCCTTTGCCCTGATGAGAAGTTCACATGCCTTCTTAACTTATTAGTTGGACTCGCTTCTCCATTCGTACCATTTCCAGCTCTGAAGCTGCCACCTTCTCTCATTACAACAAAGCCTGTTAACCGTTAAGAGTTGTTCAGCAAAGAATCAATCTTGAAGAGATGAACATAAGATAATTAATTAGTCGTAGAGATTGAACTAAAGATTAAAAGGAAACATGTTCAATAACCAAATTATAAGTAGACCTACTTAATTTGTCATCAAAATTAATGGTTTGGGACGGATCATTTAACATAATTCATTTGCAATGACCAATTTCGTTCCAGAACTCTGCTCGGTTCTCTGTTTCTTTCACCGACAACATGAGTGATTCAATTAGAAGAAAAGAAATGGGAAACATTTCAAAAGTCAACCTTGTATAAAGTAAAACTTTTGAGATCCCTTCAACTTTCCGGCCAAAGAAAGTGCAACAAATCCAGGAAGAGACCACAACATGTTTGGTTACTGAGAAAGTGAAGAAAAAGGTAGAATGTCTATTCTCCTTTCTTCAAAAATTTGATCTTTTTCATTTTTTCAACTTGACAAAACAAAACGCCATTTAACAGACTCCTTCAATTTTTAGACAATTTTCTTTTCCAGAAATTGATGAGACCGATCAACATAAAAAACACAACACAAGGTTCTGACTACATTTCCCAAATTTAATAAGGCGATTTTCATGGAAAAAATTCATTAATTAGAAATATAGAAATTCAAGAGAGAGAGAGGGGAAAAGAGCCACACCATTGTCAACGCCAAGGTCGGAGAAAAGTCCAGCTGGAGAGCTGTTTTGCCTAGCAAGATTAGATCCGTTCGCGGTACTCATCTTAGTTGCTTGCATAGAATTCTCTAAAGCCATTGAACTCATTACATTGAATGCGCTATCCATAGAATTCCCAACACTCACTGAATTGTCAGTAACCAAATTATGCCCCGGTAAACTTTGATAAACCATCTCCGAATCTCCTCCTTCTTGCTTTATCGCTGGTCTCTCTCCAAATTCTTGCAGATTTTGAGAACTGGAATCACCAGAACCATTACATGATGACATAAACCTCGCCAACACGGTATCCATTTCAGGGCTTGAAGATCGAAGATACCGATAATCCCCGCTTTCGATGCCACCACCATCATGGCCACTTGTACCATTCACAAGGCTCTCCAGGATTGAGCTTGGTGCAGAGCGATAACGCATCAGACCAGAATTTTGCTGGATTTGTTGTTGTTGTTGATGGTAGTGATAGGGATTTAAATCCATGAATTCTTGACTCCTTCTCAACTCTCCATCTGAATACTTGAAACTGGAACTGTACAAAAGATTCATGTCTTCTTTTGAAGATCCCTGAAAGCCACCAATACCATACATCATTGATCAACTTAATCGCTAATTGATTTCTTTTTGGCCCAGCTTAATTAAATTGCTGATAAAAAAACACGGGAACCAGATTTAAGCACTTCTAAGTAGTGAATTGCTTTGCTTGCAGCAGTACTCAGACCTCTAAACTTGGCTTAAACTTCAGAGTTGCTTGTCCTTCAATATATGGAATATAAAACCCAAGAAAAAATCAACTTTTCCTTCAAAGTAAGTCCAACCCGAAAGATCTACAGAAAAAAATCAACAAAAATTACGTCTCAGAAAAAACCCAGAGCTTGCATCTACACAGCTATAAATGGTCAACTCTTGCTTAACATACAATTCAGGAACCCAAAAAGGCAGCTTTTTAAGTGTTGGGTAATACTAGGACAGTAAATATGACACGAACAAAAAACCAAGTTTGCTTTAGCTCAGAATATTTCTTTGATTTAGGTTCACGTGCATTGAAAGTGGCATCAAAGCAAAAGAAGCCACAAGAGGGAAAAGACAGGCAGTATACATAGTGCAGTCTTGACTCAAATTAAACACCGCTTTTGAGCACTATCAGGAAAGTACCTCGGCTTTTTTTCTGGGTCTTTATACAAAATCACAGTCGTTTCGTTTTTACCTGCAAAACACAGAAATTAACAGCAACAAAAGAAACTAAAGACAGACTCCGAGAGAGAGAGTGTCTTGCAGGAGTAGAGCAATCTTGTAGCCTTCGTTCCTGTCTCTCCACATGGTATATTTATGAACCATTTTGCTATATCATAGCACTCACTTTTTTATATTATTTCATTAATGCCATTCGGTGATGTCATCTGATCCTGGATTCATGACATGGATTCATGGCCGTTGACCAAACTAGCCTGATGGTTATTGAAATTATTAATATTTAGGTTTGTTTGTCGATTTATTGGTTAAGGATTTTATTTTTTTTCAAATCTTGAAATTAGCATTTCGAATAATTAATTAAATCCTTTTAATGTTTCAATCATTTACAAAATAAATAAAAAAAGGTTAATCTTGATTAATGTTTAAACTTATCTAAAGCTGTCTCTTACCTTTAAAAAAAGTTTCAGTGATTTTTTATTTTTTTTTGGTTTTAGGGTTTTTGACAATGTTATCCAATAAGGCTTAAAAAAGGTGTCGCGTGCTTTCGACTCTAGTATGGCATGAAGAGACAAGTCAGTGTATGTGGGCTGCCGTGACTGTGGGGGCATGAAACGTGGCGTGGCAGATGGCGTGGCTGCCTTTTGGCTATGGAGCAAGGGAAGAGGCAAGTGGCTTGGCTAAGCTAGATGTGTCCACCCCTTTTGGAGGCCTAGATGTGAGAGCTGTTTAGTTTAATTAGCCAGCTAATGGGATAAAGAAATAAAGAAATACAAGTTGATAATTTCTTTTTTCCATGAAATATTATTGGTTTTTATTTTATAAATAAACAGTTTAGTTGCTAACAATGTATGAAAATGAAAATATTAGTTAAATAAAGCAGCTAATATTAGTTGCTTTGCACGATGATGAAGCTATCAAGTCGAAGGAGTTGAAATTAAATTTTATTTTAAAATATCCAATCATTGAAAATAATAAAATAGTCCATTTTACACACTAAAAAAAAAGCTGTGAGCAGTTGATTAATTCGGTAAAATATTCAGCTCATTATCATTATTTTTCAAAATATGTTTAATTAAAAATATATTTAAATAATATTTTTGATGTTAACATATAATACGTTGAGGATGAAAGTTTCCGAGTCACGTCAATACGTTGACTCATCCTTCAGCCGCAACTGCAACAGTGGCCGCTCCGGAGAAATGTAAAGTTAAAGGACCAATTTGTCCTCCAACTGTAACAGTGGCTGCAACAGTGGAATGCTAGGTCTCCAAACAAATATATATTTCCAATTACATCACTAGTCTATCGGAGAATACCCAATTAACCCCTAGCATTCCGATTTATAACAAAAACCACGTCATTTTAAGACAAATCAGTTCTCGTCTTTTATGACTTTAAAGACAAATTGATTGGATAACGTCTAGTAGTAGATGGGAACTCAATTGAGATTTCCTTTTGTTATGGGACAAATGACAATTGAATGATAATTGAGGGAAAACATGTCATTTTAGCAAGGAAAAAGAATTTCCTTTTTGTGGTAGTAAATTTGTTATTATCACTTCATTACTTATTACATAGAGACAAAAACAACTTTTTTAATGTGTCTCCTGGATGTAGTTAAAATCTTCAAAACAGCAAGCCTCTTCTTTATTCTAGAAAAAACAAGAAAGAAAAGGTTAGTATGTAAACTATTTATGACTTTATTATTATTATTGGTTTGATAATCAGGATATCTAGGTTAATTTATGTTTATTATAACTAATTCTCAGACTTACTGAATACTTTATAAATCTAGCAGATAGATAAAACGCTACTAAAATAACAAACGTGCACGTAAAGGTTTTAATCTAGAATACAAAGATAAAAATTTTCTTTTAGAATTATTAGGTCATGAACCTGAATGCATGACTTTGCTTTCTAGAAACATAAGTTATGTCAAATTTTTTTTTTTGAAAAATTTAAAATTTAGAATAATCATTCAATGAATCTTGATTCTAATTTTTTTTGGATATTCAAGATCATGTACTATACAAATCACAAATTATTAGTAATAATTTAGTGCCTGTTTATAAATTAATGACTTCACTATTAGAAAGTATATATTAGAAACTAAAAGGCATGGCAAGTATAGATAATAATCCCTATTTCAGAAGTTAGATTCTCTACAACATATTATTATATTGTAAAATAATATAAAATTTGAACCAAACGATGATAACATAAAATTCTTGAAATATAATTTTTTTTTGTGTAATCCTTAACATCATTGTTATTTTAAAAACATTAAAAAAGCAATTTAAAATTACTAAGTGATTAAGACATATTTAATGTGGTCAAATTATTCATTATAGATAGTAGTAGAATGGGAATGACGCCAATTCTTTTGTCCTCAAATGTTTTAATTATGAGCAGTTGGGGTCAAAGTAAACTTATTTGTGTCCCTAACATTCACGTGCCCTGAAAAGAATAGAATAATGGCCTTGGTAAATTTATTTTGAGAACGATCGACTTGGAATTTGATTTTTTTTCTTGTTTATTTATAGGTTCTATGTATTTGGAAATGTGATAAATTTTATTTTTTAAATATTTTTTAAGTTATTTTCAAATAAAAATTTATTTTCTTATATCAAGATATAAAAAAGCATATAGATCAAACAAAAAATTATTTTTTTATATCAAGATATAAAAAAGCATATAGAAACGATCAAAACTAAGATATTAAAAAAGTATTTTAAAGCTAAAATAAAATTTAAAATCTTTTAAAAATATTGGTGGACCGGAGTTACCGACAAAACTTTCAGCGTGTAATCCTTTCCTGTTAAAACATAAAAATTAACCTATGCAAAACTGTCTTCGCACGTGGTTTATGGGATTTTTCTACATGGTGGTTTTCCGGGGACCTTGAAGGCGTTGAAGATGAATTTCCTTCAATGTGAACATATTCTGTATAATTATTGACTCTTCCCAGGAGTTGAACCATCGGAGCCAAGTCATTTTTAAATAAATAAAAAACCCTTTCGGTTAATTCATCAGAGACTCGGGAATAAAGACAAGAACAGAGTTTCTTTGTTTCATATTTGTCAAGAAATTAAGAAAACCCTAATTGTTTTATCCAATGATAATCATCATGTACTGAGCTGGATTGTGTTTTATGATATTATTATAGCCCTTTAATGACTGGCAATATTGACCAAAGCCAGGGTAGCTGTGCCCACCACTTCAAATTCACACATGGCTACAGGAAGGCTAATTGCGAACAATGAAAGCAATCAAATATTATTTGATGGATTTAAGTAGATTAACTGTAATCAAATTCCTTGGCGACGGCCTGTTTCAGTTGCTTTATAGAATAGGTTGACCTGTAAGAAGTCCACCCTCATGTCGACAAGGTTTATCCTCCTGGGGTGGACACGGCTAAGACCATCTCCACCAAGTCAAATGACATTAATGGTCCCTGCTACTGAAAATGTGTTCTCCGGGACGCTACATGGATTTTAACTACCTCCAGTTTTTTCAAAGATTTATTAAATTTATTTGAATGTTTCAAGTTGATGTGAAGGTAGTGTCATTAAAATCATCTGAGAATGGATTTATTTCTGTATTTTTTTAATTTTAAAATAATTTTTTTAATTTAAATTAATATTTTTTTTATGTTTTTAGATAATATTGATGTGATAACATTAAAAAAAATTAGTTTAATGAATTTTTAAATAAAAAAAATAACTGTTACAAGATATTTTCAGAAACCATCTTAATCATAATTAATGTACTTATCCTCCTCGAATAACAGAGGTTAAAGAAAACAAGGTTAGAGAAAGAAAACTACTGTCAAAATGGATGTTCAAATAGAAAAAGGCATGGAAATTAAATAATTTTTTTAATAACTTGATGGGTTAGTCGAATTAAAGAAAGCTCGTTTCCTTCCTTAGATTTTTTTTAGTCAAACTTGCATGTATTTTAAAATATACTAGACTAATTAATGCACAAAATAGATTTTTAAGATTGTCTGAAAAGAATACTTAGTCCAAATCAATGCATGAATGACATAGGATATTTTAACCATAAAAAAATAAATCACTAAAAAATAATGAAGAAGATATTACTAGCAACTGATAAATGTTCTCTTCTGAAAGGAAAAAGGGACTGTTCCAGTGGATAGAAGGCAGGAAGAATTTGGCCATTCCGATGCTTTCACTAAAGAACTATTCCCTTCGAGCGGAGGAGGTGACTATCCAGTATGACCGTCAAAGCTGAGCATCTCTTCTCTATTCCTTGGTCCCTACCCCGCTTGGCCTCGTCATGTCAGCGTCGGCGTATAACCTAATTAACCTTTCTTGTTACTGTAATTTCTCTTCAACAAAATCATAATTTGCACCCATCTTGTAAAACAGGTTAGCGTAGCGCTGCTGAAAATGATTAACTAAGAACTTGCCTTGGTTCTCAATTCATCGATCCTAATGTCATTTTTATTTAATTATCTGGGAAATTTCTTTCTCGTTTTCTTGCTGTAAATTCTAATAGGAAATAAACCTAGCTACTTGAGAAGCACGTGACCCAGCAATCTTCCTAGTTTCACTGATGATTTTCATGAAAAACCCATCATGGAACCGGTCTCTATAATTGATTAATTTCGTGCTGTTTATATATATCCCTTTCCTTATCAAAGCTAAATCGTAAATCACTCCCACCAACCAAAGACCCGAAATGAGCCTCATTAGACGTTTGGAAGCTTGTGGTTCTCAGTTCTCACCAACACTGACCTAAAACTGCCATTTTGGGGGTCACTGATTGGAGCACCACATAAATGCACTTTCATCTATCCGTCCCCTCTTATCAGACGACGGGGAAGCTGTTCTTGATAAAAAAAAGAAAAGGTACGATCTTGTTAATTGGAATCTTTCTATATATATATATCGTGTGTGTGTTTGTGTGGAATCAAATAAATACTTTGTTCTCAAATGCCAAAGCATCAGGGACGAATCTACGATTTAGATGGAAGTAAAGAATAATATTTTAGAAAGAAGGAAGAAAAATCCTTTCACTATCGTTCTTTTATTCTTCTATTGTGCAAGAACCTTTTATTTTCTTCCCCTTTTGGTACTAGATAAGCACATTTT